TAATTAGGCTGCTAATGCTAGCGGTTCAGAAGGGCCGTCTCCCCATTTGAAGCATCTTGTAAGTTTTTACATCCAGCATCATCCATAACTACCTGATATAATTTGAAGTCATCAGCGAAAGCGCAACAAAAACCTCTTTTGACAATAGTATACTCGGAAGCTCAGAGCAAAAATATTGAATAAATGGGCGAGGATACACCTCCCTGAGGAACCCCACACTCCATTCGCCTAGGTGTGGGAAAGAGTGAGCCCAAGCGGACAACAAAGACCTGTCAGTCAGAAAAGCCTTTATCCACTCTACAATACGTGGATGTATTCCATTTGCGACAAGTTTGGCCAACAATCTACTGTGAGGCACCTTATCAAACGCTTCAAAAAAATCTTAATAGATAACATCTATTCACATAACATAACATCTAAGCACAAGGACTGTGAGAATGTTCGTTAGGTTGTTAGTGCCTTATAGAAACGCCAGCCATTGAACCGATTGAGCTGAAACTTCGCACACGTATGTTTTCGACCCCGGCGGTAGTTTATGGCTATTTTCAGCGGCGGTTGGCAGATCCTCTTATTGATTTATTTATTTGTTTACTTAAATCTGGGAAAATGAATGTTTGATGTGCTCTAATCAATCATTTTCCAACAAACATGCAAGCGGGAGTGATAAAGTTCATTCTAATCCCAAGGTCGACAGGATGCAGCGGGTTCGTCTCAAAGCGAGTGTAAATCTAATCGACATCCAGATTCGTGTAGAGGCGGACCGGAATTCACTGCTGGTTTATAAGATTATGGAAAAACACATTATTAATCACTTGACATCGAACTCGATTATAACCCCGCATCAGCATGGCTCCCAAAGGGGCAAATTTACCGTCACAGTCTTGTTTATAATCTCTGACAGCAACTGACAACAGTTGGATCGAGTACTTACGAAAGTTCAACAGGAATTTGACTGAAGCGTGATCACTATTCCCTAAAGGTGCCTCATCAGTAGAACTAGAGATCAGCATTGAATCATTTGTAAGAACTAGGTCTAGCAGATGCTGACCCATTGTGCTAGAATCAACTTTCCGACTCAATTTACAATACACCCATATAACTTGCAAAATTTCCGTGAACATCGCGAAATTCCGGGAATTTGCGAAGTTGAAAAAAAAATTTGTGCTTGTCAATGTGGTGTCCCATGAAACTTTGGGCTCAGCAATTACCGAAGTAATAGCCTTAGTGATTAAGATAATGTAGCTCACGTTAACTGTGGCAATATTAACACAAAAGGGTTACGACCCTTGGCTTCACACTTCAAAACGAGGCTGACAACAATATGTGATGTGGGAGAAATAGTCCGCGCAATTTGTTTGCTAAAAGCATCACCGATATTAAACATAAAGTTTTGGTTTATTGGAATTCTACAAAGTTTATTTTTTCGAAATTTCTGCTGGCATTATCCATTAGATCAGATTATCACAATTTTTAATTTCTTTTGCAAAACTATGTGAAGTGCTTATAAAGGCTTTGTCCTGTTTTTAACTTTCATCACCGAATTTGATTCTAAAATTGTAAAAATAAGGAGACAAGAGAAAAAACGTTGTATACAAACTTGCGCATTCATATTTGGCATTTTTTAATTACCTCGAACTCTCTTTTTTCTGTGAGTCGCAAGCGCCAGCGCTTTAGCGAACTAGATAAGTTGTTCTAGCAGCTAGGATTCGGCGTATTTGGTAGGTACATGCTGTTGAAGCTACCAAAGGGCGTTGCTTAGTGTATACCACTAGCTGGGTACCTATCGCCCGCACCTCGTATGTTCCCATTCTTGATCAGCTGGGAAAAAGCTGCTTTTTGTAGCTTTGTAACTGCTTATAGCACACTTCTCAATACGCACTCTTAGATAGAAAAGATAGAAGCGGTGGAAGAAAATCACTTAGAATTTGGCTGTCTTGTACCTTGCTCTTGAAAAATCTGAAAATTGCAATGAAAATTGGAGCAGTCAATATTATAGGTGAGCAAAATTTGGCGGATTAAATGTCTCTACAAAAAAATGATTTTCAAGGAAGCAGTACAAAAATGCAAACTTGATTTTTTTGGCACTCTTAAAAATCATTTCTGGCATATAACCTTTTATACAGCCTTTCATAAAGACTTCTAATCAATACAAACTGCTCAGTTAGAACAAGCAGGTCGAAATTGTGATTGTAATACAATGCTTCAATATGTCACTGCAAGTTTCAGGCCAAGTACGGGAGATCAAGATTCAGTAATTTTTTCCTACCGCTTCTGTCCACGCAAGGGGAGCATAATGGGTGGCGTGCTACAAGCAGCTACAAAGCGCTTATTTTTCTTTCTTCAAATGAAATTAATTGCCTGCAAATCGGTAAAAAAACAAGAAGCTACAGTCGCTTCATTTCATATGATCATGTGTGCCATTGCACACACAGTCCACTTTGGCGTCCTCATCCTGGATTTGCAATCGCAAAAATGCAAGAGACTTACCGATTGTTATCGATTACATCAATTTGAGGTGACTAGTAACTAAAAAGGAAAGAAAATGCTAAGAATACCTTGGATACACTTACCTGAAGGCTTGATTCTCCCACGAATCCAGGATGGGGACGCCAAAGATGAACTGTGTGTGCAATGACACACATGATCATATGAAATGAAGCGACTGTACCAGCTTTACATATCTTCCTCCTTTCTCAACCGATCTGCACGCGTTCTTATTTGAGAGAGGAATTTATGTTATTTCCAATTGTATCTGTCCCACCTTTTGATAGAAGCAAGCTCCGAAGTTCGAAGCCGAAGGAATTACTCTGTTTTCGTACTTTTACGTATTCTCTAAAAAATCTGGAACTTGCAACAAAAATGGAAGCAGTATTATTTTTTTTTGAAGAGCCGAAAAATAAAGTTCGTTGTTTCATTGTGCTTGCCCAAAAATCATAACTTTTTATGAAGATGTTCAATCAGCCCATCTTTGCTCAATTAGAAAGAGCAGGTAGTAAAACCTTTGATGCCGACTATTCCAACTTTTTGCGAATCCAAGATTTGTTTATGAGCTTGCACAAAAAATCGGAACTGAGTAATTTTTGACGGATCTTGAAGCTTTCTTCATGAAAAGGTACTTTAGAAACTATGAACAAAAAATAAACAGTGCAGATAATTGCGAAAGAAGTAAGGTAGTTCGCCAGAAATTGTTACAGAAAAATTTGAAATTGTTAGTATAACCTATTCTTTCGCAAAAGACCAACCGCAACTCTCGTTGCAAGGGAAAGAAAAAAAGTTTGTTCTTTTGCGAAAAGTTATTTGAGTTCACAGAAGAAAACGCCAAGTTTGATTTTTTCACTTTTCGCAAGAACTTCTAGACAGCATCACTTTTTATCATGACAGTTGTAACAGTTGCAAAGAGCAGACTAAACAAAACTTACATACGTCTTTCAATTTGATTTTTTCGCAACATTCCAGATTACTGGCGACCAGCTAGAAAGCAAAGCCTAAATGATCTTCTTGTTTCATTTTTTCTATGCAATGAGCCTAGTAGAAGGTATAAATACTACAAAGAAATAGACTTCTTATTTTCGGTCAAAGTGTAAGGAAGCAAATCTGTTTGGTTAGCGAAAAGCACAAATCTCAAGAATGAAACGACAGACCTTTCGGAAATACCTTTTATAACTAGTTAGTTTTCGCCAACAAACTCTAGGAATAATACAATTTTTATGTGAAATATGCTAGCTCATAACACCCTTATTCCGCCGGTTGGAGGGATGGATTTGGAGGGATCATTGCGGAGGTTTTCTCATTAGAACATATTTCTTGAGCGAGACCGTTCACCTCGCTTACTAGAGGATACCTAGTCGAAGTATTTCTTTGTGAGATGTATACTGTCTTACAGAGTATGGAAGGCTGATTCCTTTCGGTATCTGTAAGGTACTTATGAACGATTTTTTGAGGCAAAAGTTCAAGGTTTCAACTAAGGTAAAAACAAGTATTGACGACTTTTGGGCCCTTGATTGGAGTAATCACTATGATTTTGGTAGACTAAAGCATGATGCGAGCATAAACTGCATGATGCGTCTTGGAGTAAATGTGTCCCATTTGAGCTCACAGACTATAGCTTCAAATGATTTTATTGCAGTTGTGCATTAAAATGTTTGCTTAAAACACCCTTGTCAAAAAAGCAGCAATGGCTGAAAATGCAAGCAAATTTGGGCAACGTCTAGTTTTCAGAATCTTGCCAAATTTTTGTGTTTTTCTCCGTTGAAAACAACGCAATTGGATGTCCTCTTGAAAAATGTTGGTGGGCTAACTTGACACAACACGGCATTTAGACAGATTTTATGAAAGAAATACAAATCACTTTTTAGATTGACTGTAATAATGATCGCGTTTCTTTACCATGGTAATTTTTGCGCCTCATGCGCTCTGCGGCTGATAAAGCCGCGTTCGCGTTTAACCCACTGACGACGATGTGGACCACCGGTGGCCTACGCGCTTTGTGCTGCCACGGACGATGTGGACCCCGGTGGCTCGCACCTCTTGCAAAGTCGTACCATTTGCAAGTCCAGTTTTTTCCACATATCAATATTTTTTCCAATTTTTTGTATTCTTGGGACATGTAGGCTCTGCCGTTCAAGAAAATCTTAATAATCGTTTACAAAACAACGTTGCATTTTGTAAATAAACACGACACCTTCCCGCACTGAAAGTATTGTGCAAAATTGCGTCGTCCCACAGCGCCTCCGGGCAAAATTAGGCGTTGTTGTCAGTGGGTTAAGGATATTGCGCTTTCGTCATGCTGCAGCCTATATGCTATTACTTTTGAGCTACATATGTAGTACTGCAGTGTGTGTGATTACAGACATAAAGTGGAGGCTAGAAATTAGGGCCGACTTGTCTTTTCTAAGCGTCACATCTTCTTGTACTTATGTTAGATGTTGAAGCATGAGAAGTGGTTTGTGAGTATACATCAGAGACTGACATCATAAGCTTAACATCACATTTATTTCAGTGAAGGTTTGCGGCGACCTTTCTAGAGTTACACAATGTAACTCAAATAAGAGAAAACATGTCATGGCAGGTGACAGTTTGGTCCCATGAATGGATCACGACCGTTGCACCAATCTCTCCATGTGTATCGTTCCATGTTCTCGACTATAGTCAATTCTTGAGTCGTAAGTCTCAGCTGAAATACTTTGATACCGCATCTCACAAAATAGTATATAAGGACTAGTTCTGACAAATAGGTCTGTCATTGCATCGCGAACACGACCTATCTGCAGTGCAAATGCAGCAGTACGAAGGAGAGGCATGGCTGGCACATAGCACGCAGGCTATAGTGTGAAATAAAGCATATACCATTTAGACTCGTTTAGGGTTGGGTCGTCTTGGGTTTTTGCGCCATTGTTGCCAGGTCCTCCAACTTAGACATACGACTACCTGCTTTAATAGCGCCATCGTGGGACTCCCGATAAACAAGTGGTTTTTTTTACAACGAACAGGAATGACATGACACCAAATCGACGTGTGTACGTGAATGATGAGTATAGGAAAGGATTAGTGAACTTTTTTGTGTATGCGCCTTTACTCTCATTATGCAAATCTGGACTTCTTCGCCTCTTTGTTGCACCACGGATAATATGAATTCCTACGATTCTCAAAACTTTCGTCGCTACATCTAATGGGTCGTTTCATGAGCTCGCAGAGTTAATCAACGAAATAACAAGATTTCAACAGAATTCAGTCAATAGTGTGTGTTCCGTCGTTGCGAACAATCTTCTGCCACTATGCGAGCAGATTAGTTCCGTTTTATCCGAAACTAAGCAGGTCTGAACCCAAAAAAGTCGTCAGCGCCTGAGAACGTCTTTAGAATCAAAATATACAAAGTTCGTATGATCTGTGTTTGACTGGATTAGATGATACATGCTAAAGCAAGATTTTAGGAGTACATCGAACCTAATTTATCTCTCGGTCAAAATCCTGCGGTTGCCGAAGTGGGGCAAGTTTGTCGTGCAGAAAAGCTCACTGGTCTTGTTTTTTAGGCTTTTTTTGCAGCAGGTATTCGGTTGAATGGTGCAATTGAATGCGTGCGGTTTAGATGACCGTCTTATTATCTAGCAAATTTTCTTTGCAAAACCTCCTGCCCATTCTGCAAAACTCTTATTCAGAAAGCCGCAGTGCAAACTCTTATCCTTCTAAAGCAATCCAATCCTTTCTTGTCTCACATTGACAAGAAAACATAATCGGCAGGAAAATCTACGCAAAACACCTTTTACCATGAAAAAATGAGCGAGAGCCAAAACTGCTTCTTTTGTTTTTCGAAAGATCCTTCTTTGGGAGCTAAGCAGTCCAAGTAGATCAGCTATACTTGAGTACGATCAGCTCATTTTGAAGAACATAATCAACCTTCACAATAATAAATTCTTGCCCGGAAATCAGACGCTCCTTAAAGAGAAAGTGAGAACGAGAATGAAAACTCTACAAAGTTATGAAATGACCCAATAATTTTTTTCCGCTTTGTTCACCTCCGTAACAACCTCTACACGTCGTAGTTTGTTACAAGCTTAGATATTACTTCGTTTTACAAAATCTCTGTCGTGCGTGCTAAGTCTTCAAATACCATCAACACTAACAGCAAGCGCGCTTATTTCTAAAGATCCTGGCATAACTAATACGATTTCAAGACGCCATGTGATTTGACAATACTTTGGATTCTTATGATTCATTTTGAGCAGTCAAATAAGAAAAACTGGGGCTAATCATTAAATAACAAAAAGTTATGTATGCACACTATGCGATTGTACTCTGTGACTAAAACATGTGACAATGCCCTAAATGCACAGCGACTGCAAATCGAGCGCAGTATGCCGGCATTGGAATCCGCCTTCGCCCGGTACTAGCCTTTATTCACAAACCTGCTTTGCCCTTTGGCTTTTGTAGATCAAGTCCTGCAGATAATGACAAAATCCGGCTACACTTATTATTCCTTTGCATCCTTGTGAGACAGCCTTAATAAATTACAGCTTCAATCTCAAATGCTTACTGCAAGTGGGACATCGAAACTTACGGCCACATTTATTCTCGCATTCCATATCGCCGAAAATTGTCTGTAATATGGACATGCCTGACGACACCAGACGTCACACTTATAGTCACAATAATATGCCGCAGCAGCGCTGAAGAGCAGAAATGCCGCAAACACCTTCATTACAGAATTTTCTCATCTTTCACTCTTTTATACAACTGATGTATATGTAGTTGAAAGGTCTGCTTGAAATGGTGTGAAGCCAACGCAGTATGCAAATATATTTGCATATGAGAAGGTAGAGGATAGCAAGTGATAGCAAAAGCTATTAGCTTGCAATTACATCAACAGAATTGGGAAGCAAAGCTTTTAGGAGAGCGCAGATTTGCTAATGGAAGTGGCGAAGTCATAAGAAAAGAATCGCTTATCGATCGAACAAGCTGCCATTACTTACTGTCTCAGTAAATTGACATTGTTTTTCCATACACACGTTGTTGTGACGCGACAATTCGATATATTAGGTTCTTCGGAAAATAATTTCGCATGGCATCCTATCACGACAGAATGACCATAAAAATAGCGAATGGAGTATCATTTGATAGAGAAAAGCAAGCACTACTAGTTAGTCTACAAAACCTGCGGAAGTCTTGCTTCAATTAAAGTTCTAATCTAAAATATGAGAAATTTCAAATGCCCAAGAAATCGTATCTCCGTGCGTAGAAGTCTTAGGGATCTCCAGTTTGCACAGCTTGTACACACTAGACATTCAGCTGTATAGTTTGTGAATTTTCCATGATTACAGTACGAAAACAAAAATGGGTCAAAAGTGCGAATATGTGGCGTTTTTCGGGTGTTTTGCAAACATTTTGATTTTTCTCGAAACTAGAGCTTGCCTAAAGTTGAAAATTTAGGGTTATATTCCTAAAGGTCATACTACAGAATCAGCCATGTGGGAGAAGCTCAGAAACGCTTCGGCAGAAATATGCCGAATTTCGTCTCCTCGATTTTCAGCCATGGAAAAGCCGCAAAAATGTACATACAAGTGTCTCGTATAGTGAGTCCATGCTGAACAAGTTAGGGGTTCTTAGGACCTTTCTGAACGGAGATACAATTTGTTTTCGTTTTTTAAATTTTTATGCCTTATGAAATTTGGCTCCAAACTTCACGTTAATCAAACCTGGCGCGAATTCAACTTCATTTTGTTGAGCTTGCTTTGATCTATCGCCTGATATCCCACTCACTTACTTTCGTGCGCACTGTGCTGCGATGTTGCAGGATAAAACACGATGCGACATTATTTTCCGGCAAACCAAATATTTCAAAAAATTTACGCTGGACTAATTCTCTGCGGGGGGGGGGGGGGTAATATTTCTCTGTAAGGAAACTCTTAATAAATGTGAAAGTGATCCACGGTTTACCTCCAAAAGCAGCGCATTCTGCCAAATTATGCACCAGGATAACTTCCTTCACTGATTCCGCCTAGAAAGTAAAAACAGTCAAGGTGTGCCTTGTGCATCAAATTACTCAAAATCTACAACATTGAAAGTTCATTCGGACTATGTTAAATCAAACACCGAGTCTTTTGCGTGCCTAAGATTCAGCTTTATAGAGTAGGCCAGCCAGTCATCTTTCCATAGACCGCCGCCCACTCTACTGCATTCAGAATCAGCATTAGAATGCATCCTGAATATCGAAACGCAGTCAAGCTTAGTCAGTTGAAAAGACGTATTCGAAAGACGATTTGTTCAAAGTCAAGGGTGCATAATAGAAAGTAGGTGCTTATCCGTTATGTGGAATGCCATTTTTTTGTAAAAGGAAATTGCTGCTTTTCTTCTTCTATATCTAGTCCCAACTTCAAGTTGCCAACTGTTAGCCACTACCAAAAGAATTGACATGTTATCTATATGTACACTATTCGATTTTCATGTTGCCAACCTACAAAAGTTCATTCTTTTTTCTAATCAAACTTTGGGCTATGAATATGAAAATGGCATTAACACTGACGTTGACATCAATCTGAACTAAAGACCATAGAGCGCGTGTAAGGAGTGACAGTGTCGAAACAAGCGGTAGCAAGCTACTTAACACCCGGAAACAGTTTCAAGGAAGAATATTTTTGAATGAGTCAACAGCTATCGATTTGATAATTGGTTTAGACGGTTTGTTCTAAAAAATTGGTTGTTAACCTTTTACATCAAAGGAAATGAAGTCAAAAGCATGTCAAACTAAGTCAAAACGTGTCAAATTTTTTCTTTTAGGCACTCTACTTACAGTTAGATCTTACCAACATATGTACACTATATGATCTCTACAGAATAACAAATTTTGCCTCAACACACTATCATATAGGACGAATTACTGTGGCACAATAAAACTCAGAACTGAGTGAGCTTTGAAAATCAGGTTCTATGGTTCAAAAATGCACCTTTTCAAATCTAGCTTGTATGTTGTATTAACAATTACGCAGAAAATTTATTCCGCCGCCTTTTACCACTTCAAAAATAAGTGCTTGATATTTTTCCAAACGATGTTGTAGTAGGGTTGACTTTCATGCAAAATACACCATTTTTGTAAAAAAAAAAAGAAATGCAACGAATGTTTTTACAACAAGTAAGGCGATTGAGTGTAATGTAGCTATACAAAAGATTTAAGAGACAAATGCAGTAGCAGCGCATCAGATTGGATCGTTGGAAGGAGTGCAAAATGCAGTGATGTTTAGATTGGATTTCTTGATACCCGTGCATATACTCCTACCACCATTCCTCAATACAGCCTCCGGTCTCGCTGATATGCGGAGAAAAATAAATAATACAATAAAAATTCACTTCATTTTTTTCAGCCACTACTACAATCATTGACTCTCAACTTTTTGTACACTATCGTCATAAAATCCGCTGAGCCTTCTCGACCAGTGAGCTGAAAAACGATTTTGTAAACTTTGCTCGACAGCTAATAATGAACAAGCCTTTAACCTTTTCAAAGTGTTGTCACTCTACAAGACTCTTTTCGAAACCCAAAATTATTTTAGATGCAGCCATTGCGTTGACATTACAACAATAGACTTGTGTGAACTAAACTTGTAAATTAAAATTTGAGAAAAATTGCTGCACTGTGCATTGTGGCTCTGCCGTATTTATTCTCCATAGGTTGGATGGATTACCCTGCATAATCTGATCACTGCGTTAACCAGGCGGTGCAAGTTAATAAGATTTAAGTTTATGGACAAGCTAGTGCATAGAAAACTTTTATTGAATTTTTTGAATTCAATTTTGCAAATGCTTCACTACAGAAAATATGAAAGTTTTTGCATGCATCATCATGTGGGCAATGCGTGAAATCGAACTCATTCCTTTCTAAACAAGTGTAACTGAGTTTTGACGATTTTTTAATTTTCAAATCCTTCTCCGTTTGAACTCAAATCCGTTTAAAATCGAAAGTCTTCTTTAGGATAGGCCAGCACAATTTAAGATAGCTCTGAAAAGAACGCAGCTTACGGTGATTCTAGTTGGTGAATTTGATTAGTTTCCAGCACTGTAGTGACCAATACTGTAAATTAGTACTTTCACTATTTCATACATAATGAACATTATATTAATTATGACAAAACTTCAAGATTGTAGATGCAATCAGTTTTGGAAAATATCATGTGTGAAATACAATGAGAACACTTTATCTTTAAGCTTGAAATGCTATAAATACGTCAAAACTTTAAAAAACCAATTGCAAAAAAAAAATGATTAGGTTAATGTAATTGGTCGTGGTGTTCGTTTTTGGGCTCCAGTTGAAACATATAGGATAAATACTGCATCAGTATTATCTACTTTGTGTCCTAATACCACCAAAAACCAAGGCTTTGACGAAAACACATGTTGTTCCTGAAAATTCTAAGCATGTTACCACTTATGAGTACACTAGCTGGCTTACCCGGCTCCGCCGTATGTTCCGAATAGAAAATTCCATTTCTTGACCGATCCGGACCAACTTGGCACACATACACTTCGGGCCCCGGAGGGTGTCACAGTCCACTTTTCGTTATCGATCGATGTCGATTTTATCGATTTTTTTGCAAAATTTGAGCTAGGGGGCTGGTATGCTCGATTACCCCCCTGTGCCAACTCCCAGCTCCGTAGCTCAAATTTTGCAAAAAAATCGATAAAATCTATCGATCGATGACGAAAAGTAGCCTATGACACCCGCCGGGGACCGAAGTGTATGTGTGCCAAGTTTGGTCCGGATCGGTTCAGAAATGGAATTTTCTATTCGGAACATACGTACAGACATACATACAGACAGACAGACAAACAGACATTCAGCTTTGTATATAAGAGGATATGTGGTACTTCAGTGTGCGCATGCTACATAACTATTTACATAACTACATAAGACTACAAATGCATAGCTTGTTCTTGCGATTTGAATTGCCCTACCTTCTGAGACTTTAAAACGTGCTTACAAGGAACTAAGATCTTCAGAATTACCAAGCTGCGTGGCGTCTAGAGTCGCGTAAGATATTCACGGAGTCTAGTAAGCGCACCAGTAATCAGTGCTGTCCGTTGCCCTTTATGACAAAAGTCATTGCGCGCTCATGCCAGGGACTTTTGAAGACGAAGGCCGAAGTAATAGCCTCTGAAGGCCGCCGTATTCTCTTGCAAAGACGTCTGCCTATGCAAGAGAATACGGCCTTCAGAGGTTGTTACGAATGGCATAGAGACAAGAAAATGGCAGATAGTGGCGAACAGTAGGATTAGCGGCGGTATTCACATTTATTGGAGCAGTAAGAACGAGGGAAACGGGATGGTTTACGTGTTGAGAGAAAAGGCTCAGACTATGGAGTAGATAAATGAAAACCAAACTCTGAAGAAATGTTAAGTTTTGTTGTGCCAGGTAATTGGGGAAAGGGTTGTTCATGTTTGTGTTCTCGGAATTTTCACTAACACCGTTTCTACGCTTTCAAAGTAAGCGCATCGCATTGGTGCCATTGCTTGTTCGTTGTTAATAAACTTTATATCAAAGAACGGGTACTAGTACTATTCCGGTTTGTTGCGATGGGAAACATTGACTTAGATGTCCGATATGCAAGAACACTATCATGATTTATTGGCTTGCGAATAGTGCAGAGTCACCTCGCACATTGAGTTAGATACAGTTTGCGCACAGGTAGACGTCTGGTACTTCATTATAAGGCATTTTTTGAAAAGTAGTGCGGAAGAACTCAAGCCTAGATACTTCATATCCTAATGAAGAGTGCTGGCTAGGGAAGGATCCTTAGTTAAAGTGGCTTTTCCAGATGAGACGCACACATTCTTGAAGGACTTATGACTCTTGAAACGAATATATAAACGCGTATCTAGAAGGAAATCACTTAAAGAAGTTTTTTTGTGAACCCAGTTAATGTTAAACTCATCCGTGGAAAGAAATTTCCTAGCTACCCCTGCTGGCATTACTTCATCTGCAAGTCCGGAAGGCTGTCACCATTGGTTTTATTCTAATCAAGTGTTCAGTTTTTCAAGCAAAAGCTCATAACACCTTACACAAAGACGTTTCGCAGATAGGAAAGGCAGATTTGAAAATCAGTTCGATGCTCTTCAAGACCGTATGCATCTCAACTGGAAAGTCACTTTGAGTGACGTGCCTTTCTCCGTGAGAAGTCTGTGAACAACATTAGCTTTTGAAACATTTAGAGCTGAAAATCTAATGAATAATGGGATAATAAAATTACTACGATAAAATTTCTACTACTACTCATTGTTGCGCAAAAATGAAAGTTCTGAGCCACAACACCAAATAATTTCCATACTTACATGGAAGAAGAACAATGTTTTATAACCAACTAGCTGGCTTACCCGGCTCCGCCCGGCCCTGTCAAAACACTATGATAAATCTCTCATCTCTATCCCAGTACAACCTTTCCCTGTGCTCACGCCAATTCACTATTCCCGCTATTTTAGTAATCAGCATGCTCGTTATCCCCCTGTGCCAACTCCCAGCCTCTAGCTCAAACTTTGCAGAAAAATCGATAAAATCGATAAAATAGCGGATAATTCCATAAACTAATATTGTGGCTCTCTTCTAAAAATCATATGAGATAATTGTCGTCAAGATCCAACCGAGTGCAAAAAAAGAGTAAATAAAATTCCAAACTGCCGGGGAACATCTTTATAGCCTAATAAAACCACAGAAAAAAATAGTTGCTCAGCAATTTGTCGTTCTTGCATTTCTAGCGCGCATTAGGGCCAGCGCGCGTACTGTCTTCCCAGATAGTTTGGGCTCGCGGACTTAGCAACCACGCTAGTGCTGTGAGGTGGGATAGATCCTTGATTAATTGAGTGCTTCGTCACTCTGGGGAACGATGGAGCTCGTCGTGTTCGATACTAGACTAGGCTGATCCCATCTAACGGCCGTGATAAGAAGTAGCCTTAAGATTGAAGGTAGTGTCTCACCAAATGTTGAGGTTTGGGGTTTTTAGAATAACAAGCATTTGTGAACTTATGTAATCCTATACGGACTTAAATCGGTTTGTTCGTAGAAGCAACGAGGACGAGCTATCCAGCTCTAAAGCTTTGGGAGCAGGGTTCAACAAGTCAACAAAAATGACGTTGTCCGAAAAGACGTGTTGAAACGCGATGAAGAAAATAATCTATCCAGAGCTTCCGCGTCACTTCAAACAGAATTTTCTCGATGTAGGAATATTGTCATCAAATGGAAATCAAGCAATGGATTATGAGGTGTCCCCATCTGCAAAAGTCTAATAACTCCAAATCTATGGTCACTGCCGTTAACCCTGCAGGGTAAAGTGGACAGGACGTACCTTATTAGAGCGCCGCACAGAGAGAATACGAGTTCAGAAGTTTCTTGCTGTGCGGGATCGTAAATAGTGGTACGCCTTGATTTGCTCGTGAACTGCTGAGGATGTCTGAAAGCATATAAGCGCTAGAGGTGCTCCTTTACGTTTACTCAAAAAAAAAAAAAGATCTGGCATCTGGCCTACCATGTCGTGCCCTTCACTGTGTGCATTCACGAGCTCCAGCAATGATACGTACTCGGCGGTCGATTGGGAGCGTTTCGACATTAAACCATGAGGCTCTGATCTATGACTCTACGTCTGCAAAGCAACAATCTGTACTATGCCGCATTCCATTTATTGTAATCGTGGACTTGCTCATCAGCTTTTTGAGGTCCTAATGCGCGTTAGCGGACGTTCGGAACTAGCCTTTGCATACTACTTGTGACATTCGTTATCAGAATATTTCAGCATGGTAAAAAGACCGAAGTAGAGAGCATTCAGCAATATACATGGAAAGATTGGTGCAATGGTCGTGGTTCCGGGGATTGAACTGTCGCATGGAATGAAGTCTACATTGTTTGAACAACAGCTGCAGAGCTACAATCTGTACATTGTCGCATTCCATTCCATTTACGGCAATTGTGGTCTTGCTCATCCACCTTTGAGTCATTTGCCATGTTCGGTCAAAGTGGGCATTGCGAAAGAACTCGGTTTATGCGGCCCTCTCGAGGTCTAAATCGACATCATACTCTCTTACTTGTTTTTCTTTTTCAGGCCCAATAAGCTAAGAGAGAGCAAAACATGTTTGAATAGCTAAATTATAAGCTACAAATCGCTTACATTTTGATATCGGCCTGCACAAAATGCTAGAAACTGGGCAGCTAAACCGTATGTATCGAGAACCTCATTTTTGTCACAAAAGTAAGTTCAAACTGAACATGGCATGATTTCTTTGAAACAGATATAGTTAGTAAAGACATTAGACTGCCAGGCGAATGCGTAAGTGCTACGCAAAAAGGAGCTTCGCCATTGACACAGGTTGTATGAGCATTGCTTCACCTAAATAGATGTGATACCAAACTCATTAGCGAGAATCTTAACTCTCAAATTCTGCAGTACATCGGCTCTTGCCTCTCTCTTGATGTTAACATCTAAAAACACGTTGTTGACGAAGAGAGCTGGAGCTTTGACTCCAAAGACAGCTGCGCCTCGAAGGACCTGAACATTTTACTGCAAATTTTTGCAGTAAAATGTTTAGCTTGCCAATCAGATTCATTCGGCAGCTCTTTGAAGGGCCATGGCAATAGTGTTTTAACAGATGCTATTTGACACTTCTACATTCTCCCAACAAAGATTATCCTGTTCACGAAGTACGAATTTTTGATAAGAACAAGGTACATGGAAATAAAGGCAATGAAGTTTTTGCTGAGGGTTTTGATGCTAAGTCTCAGATTCGCCAGAACTTGGTTTGGAAGGCAGGAGAGAGTGGAAAAAGCTTTTGCGATTGAAGAGCCGCACTTTGACTCTGATCATCGCTCGTTCTGCACCAGTGCTAGTATGCATCTCAAGACGATGTAGATGCGCAGTGTAAGTGCGTACGTCTCCTATAACCTAATTCTTGCGGTTCCAAGCATCAATTCTTATTTTGCGGTCGTTCGTAAATTGATTGAGTATGCTAGCTAGACAACAAAAAGACTTATAGTTTATTTTAGTACACAAAAATTATAAATTCATCAGCTTCAAGCGATTTAACAACGCATACCTATTCAGAGTAAGCTAATAATATGCTTTCCAATAGCTTCAAACAATCTATCAACGCATACCAAATGTGGATAACCAGATGCTGAAGAGTTCCATTAGCCAAAGGATTTGAACGTACTTTTATCTTTTACATTCAAGGTGTACCACTTAAACGATGAAATACTCTTAGTATGAGGCCAGTCGTCCTAGGCCTTCGAAGAACAAAATGAAAATGCTCGTGATTCGTTGACGTATGAGCAAAAGAAACTACTCATATGGGATGTATCTACTCATACGAAAAATACGACCAAATGCGAGTGCCTTATATGCTTGAATGTATATGAGTTGGGATGTCAGATAAATAGTAGACGTCGCTACGACTTGCGATCGCCAGTCGCCAATACTGGCGACTGCGTCTTCTATGCGTATTGATCGCTAACAAGTTACCACACGTTCAATCGATACACATTTAATGTGTAGTCGCCAACACTGGCGACTGGCGATCGCCAATATCGGCGACAAAAATCGTCAGTTTTACACGTATTTGATGCATATCGATCGTCGCCATGCTATACTCCTCGAAGAGTATAGCGCCTGCCTTAAGGATAATAGGGGCGGTTCAAGCAAGGTTATTATTTTGGTCAGGTATTCATCAACCTAATTCCCCAAGCCTTGAATGGACCTGATAATTTCCAAGTAGAATGATTCTTGATCTAAAAAGTTTTCAATTCAGAAAATTAGTCTAGAGTAGGACAAATGGCCCCGAACCAGTGATTAGTAACAAAAGGAAGCTCAGCACAGTAGCAATGCACCGGCTTAAGCTATCACGAATAAGAAAAATTGCCATATTCAATCGGCACTACCGAACGATTGACCACAACAGCGAAAACGAAGACATGGCCACTAGAAAAGACATAAATGAAAATCTTGTGATGTTCAATAACCAACCAAAAAGTAGCACGTAACAAGTAGCTAGGACAGCAATGATGTTAGTTGTACCGATCCTGAAAACGTTGAATGCTGATGTTGCCGTAGCCGGCCCCAAAATTGTTGAACCGTTTAGTCGGCTAACCTCTCGGCCTAGTCGCTTTTTCAAAACCTATAAAGCAGACGACATTTCGATTTATCCCATCAAACATCTCATCATTTACGGGAAAAAGTTGGGAAGTGGACGACTCCTGTCCAAGCCCCAGAATAACTCATCTTAGCCGATAAAAGTTGTTAAAGCTAGGGACCACCGCTGTCTGGTGTGCGCTGTGCGATAAATGAGGTCGGTATTCGAGGTTGAGATCAAACGAGGTTGAGATTTCATTTAATCCTCATTTTCTAAGCTCTCACTTGAAAGAGGTACTATCAGCACGAGCCAAAAGTTATACGTAAACTTTGCATCATATTTGACATACGGGTAGAAAACTCATGATTAGCACCCATCATTTAGAGGGCATCAGTTCAGTCTTACCCCTAAAGAGCACAAAAGCTAGTACAAATCATGAACAGTTCTATGATATGAAAGACACTTAAGGGTGTCTTCAATCGCTGTTCACAATTAGTTGAACGAAAGTATGCTGGATGAGGAAAGCAACGATAGCAAACTGATTTGTGGAGGCTCTCTGAACGCAAGGGCTCTATGTACACCTGACTTGCATATTTGAGCAATTGACAAGTCAGTATTCGACAATTGCAAGTTGATACACATTTTATTATCTGTAGAGGAATTTATCATCTACAAATTTGTGCGTGGTTCCATGCAGTGGCGTGCCCAGGATTTCCGCTCGGGGGGGGGGCGACAGTAATTTTTTTCGATGAAGGTGCGTGGCGTTAGCCACGCACTCCGAAAAAATTTTTGGTATGCTTCCTGAAATTTTCGGGGGCTCAGGACCCCGAAATTTCAGAAAAAGGGGGCGTGGCTGACGCCACGCCCCTGGAAAAAATATTTCATGAGGCTAAATTGAATTTTTAAAATTTTTTGGAAAGTATTTAAGTTACTTACAAGTATAAATAAGTCTTTTGCACATTTTTATAACTCATGTAAGTAACTTTCAAAAATTTCGCGACCCATTCTCGGGAAGGGGGGGGGAGGGCGCGCCCCCCCCCCCCCCGCCCCCCCTCGGTACGCCACTGGTTCCATGTCTTGTGTTGACGCTGATACTGGTCTCTGCGTTACCTTTGACAACATGAAGTTATTTCAAGGCTTTGAAAGCATTTGCGGCTGCGTCTTTCATCGAATTTCAAAAACTTCAAAACAAGTATTAAGCACTTGAAGGAAGCTTCTTTGATGAGATGCATAAAGTGTCGAATTTTGCTTAATAGCTTTATAGCTTCATAAATACCATTAGCAAAACCATTTATGCTTTTAAGCTAAGAAAAGGCCCTGTCGCAATTTTCATGCCTTTTTTATGTTCGCATATGGAAATAAGGCTAATATGCAGTCTCACAAACCATTTTAAGTTTCACCTTTGAAATCCATTGTCGATACAGTAGCCCTATAAAAGTATGATAAGATGAAAGGGAAGCCTTGTGATGAAGCTGTTAGGTGCGATTCTGCTTTTCAGCCTTTATTATGACTCAAGTGCCGGAATTGACATTTGGTGCCAACAAGCTTGTCCGTATTATAGACGTTTTCCAGCAATATGGAATGCTAGGATAGATGTCTACGTAATTTTCTTTGGTCCATGTGCAGTAAACAATTTTGTAACTCGATTTGTTTAGGGTACTGCGAGAACCTGCAATATTGCAGATCTGAGGACGTTCTGTAATGAGTTGTACCATATGATAAAGAGGAGCCAAATGCCAGATGGGGTTTGTATGTACTATTTTCGATATATAATATCAGTTATATTATTATTCTAGCCTCTCCGAAACGATGAAAAGACTATAATCCAGAACATGGGAAGATATACGTGGAGAGATTGGTGCAACGGTCGAGGGTACATGGGACCAAATTGCCACATGCCATGACATGAATCTTCTTGTTTGTAAAGACTACAGCATTGCTGCAAAACTTCTCACGAATAAATGTAACACTAAACTTATTTGCATGAACCCACTAGGATTTGCTTAAATTGGCTTTGCTGTGCCACAGCTCAGCACTCTCTCTCTCATCAGAAAATTTTGAGAGGCTAGTCTTATCTGGCTTTGCAATTTAGGTTGATCCAAAAATCCTGTCTCTCTGATCTCCTGTCTCTTAAAGCATTCGTAACCGGTCCCTATGTGGACGTTTATTTACGTATTTATTTACAGAAAACTTCTCCGATAGAAAAATTATCTATTTTAGTAGCAACTTCGCGGCTCTTTGAGACAAGGAACTCTAAAGATGAAAAATTCGAATACGAGACCCACACTAACTCTGAATTTTTGAGGACATGATTTCGAACTTTGTAAGCTGTCCTTTCTGATGGGGGCCAACTTTGTGCTGATTAACCTTTTCTACGGAAAATCAGATTTTCGAGGATTTGCAAGAAACGGCAAAAAAAAAAACGTTTTTTTTGCGCTCTTCTGCATTTTTCAGGAGAATCGTAAATCTTATATATAAAGCTGAATGTCTGTTTGTATGTCTGTATGTCTGTATGTCTGTATGTACGTATGTTCCGAATAGAAAATTCCATTTCTAAACCGATCGGGACCAAACTTGGCACATACACTTCGGGCCCCGGCGGGTGTCATAGGCTATTTTTCGTTATCGATCGATATCGATTTTATCGATTTTTTGCAAAGTTTGAGCTACGGGGCTGGGAGTTGGCACAGGGGGGTAATCGAGCATGCTGATCACCCCCGTGGGGGTGATCAGCATGCTCGATTACACCCCTCTGCCAAATTCCAGCCCCTAGCTCAAATTTTGCAAAAAATCGATAACATCGACATCGATCGATAGCAAAAAGTAGCCTATGACACCCGCCGGGGCCCGAAGTGTATGTGTGCCAAGTTTGGTCCGGATCGGTTAAGAAATGGAATTTTCTATTCGGAACATACGGCGGAGCCGGGTAAGCCAGCTAGTATTTTATATAAAAGCTCGATCAACCCAAACTTAGCACTGTTAGGAAGAGCAGGTCACGTGCATTGTAAAAAGACGCGTTTTCCAAGTTTTTCTGCCGCATTCCAAAATTCTGACAATTTCTTTTCGAAAATCGGGAGTTAGAGTGGGTCTCTTATTTAGATTTCTACCTTTGAAGTTCCTTGACGTGAAATAGCTGCAAAGTTGTATCAGTAGGTAGATGAGCTTTTTTCATCTAAAGAGGAGAGGAAACGCGGTGACCGTGGCTTTTCGATATGTGACATATGTCATGACATTCACCTCGAAAAGCTGGACCTCAAAACTACAGGTGCGATAGTGTGAGAATCTTCTCACCCCCTCTTCACCCGTAAGCCGGGACCAAGGTGACCCCCTCCACCAAAAGAAAAAAAATCAACAGTGAGGAAAGGTTAAGCAAAGAAGATATTTGTACATGAATTGTTTATGTATAGGTAGGAAAGGAGGAGTCTGTTGAAAAAAGTGTATAGTGACGGGTGTGAGTAGTGAGTTCCGGAGATTTTCGAGTTTTTGACATAAAAAATTCATAACTTTTGTAGGTGAACATCTTTCACGACAAGATGGTCACCATCAGAACCGACTCATTCTCCGCTCTCAGAAAATATACAGCATGTTTGAGATCCATTCAAAAAAGTGCCTGGTGAAGGATATGCCTGGTCATTTCTGGGAATTTTCGAGCTTTTAGGATAAAAAATAAAAAAATCCGTGACTACTGCAGATGAATAGCTGGTGCAAGGAAATAGTCATAATCGAAACCGCCTTGTCCTTCGCTTTCAAAAAATATATAGCATGTCTGAGATCCATTCAAAAAAGTGCCTGGGTGAAGGGTGTGCTTGATGATTTTTGAAGATATTCGAATTTTTAACATAAAAAAATTCATAACTTTTGTAGATGAACATCTTGTACGCCGAGATAGTCACCCTTAGAACCGCCTTGTCTTCCGCTTTCAGAAAATATAAACATTACCTGGGGTCCGTTAAAAAAAGTGCCGGGTGAAGGGTGGGTGAGACTTGCATAACGGGATTGCTCAAGTAGAGGCTTTTTTAGGCTCCCGCCAGAGTGCCGTAGTTATGCCAGCGCTACGCCAGCATTTCGATCGATACACGTGTATTTCGTTGGGGACATCAGCTAGCCCGCCCCAACGAAATACACGTGTATCGATCGAAATGCTGGCGTAGCGCTGGCATAACTTCGGCACTCTGGCGGGAGCCTTATCATTGTAAAAAGACGTCTACTTGAGCACTCCCTTTGTGAAAGTCTCACCCACCCTTCACCCGGCACTTTTTCAACGGACCCCAAGCAATGTTTATATTTTCTGAAAGCGGAAGACAAGACGGTTCCAACGGTGACCATCGCGGCGTACAAGATGTTCATCTAAAAAAGTTATGAATTTTTTTAATGTTAAAAATTCGAAAATCTCCAGAAATCACTATGCATACCCTTCATCAAGCACTTTTTTGAACGGACCCCAGACAAAGTGTACATTTCTGAAAGCAGAAAACGAGGCGGTTTCAATGGTAACTATCACGGCGTACAAGAAGTTCATCTTCAGAAGTTACGGATTTTTTCCTAAAAACTCCTAAATATTCAGAAATCATTACCCACTCTTCAGGCACTTTTTCAACAGACTCCAGGCAAACTATATATTCTCTAAAAGCGGAAAACAAGATGGTTCCGAAAACACTTACCTTGCTGATGTTGCTGTTCATCTACAGAAATAACGAATTTCTTCTTTGAAAAAAAAATTCGTAAATGCTAAAAAATTGTCTAACTCTTTTTGAAACAAATGTTCTTGCATGCACATCTTCTATGGTAATACCAAAAACAGGCAGGGCGATGTAAAAAAGTGAAAAGAAAATGTAAAAAAATACAAGGTGCTGGTCAGAAATATAATTGTATTCTAATTCAGCAGCATATCGGTTCATATCTCAGAAAAAAGACAAACAGCGATGGTAATGAATTGGAAATTATGAACTTTGACTAGGAAAAATGATGGCTCTCCCCCCCCCCCGTCAACATTTTATAATCTCCCTACCAAGTAAAACACCCTTCACCCTGGAGGGGCTGCGACCACTGTGACCCCGTTCACCCTGGAGGAGTCATTCTTACCTTATCGCACCTGTGCTCAAAACCATTATTCGTTATCGGCGCAACAATGTTTCGGAAAAACCGCATATCTTCTCATAACGTGTTTGCACAAGAGTACGAGCAATTTCGATAGATGGTAAAAGTCTCGAATGGTCTAGTGATTAGCGTTGTCGATTATTGCACAATGCATGCCCGTTCGATCTCGGTTGGTGCGAATATTTTTGTGTCAACTCCTTCACAAGCGCTAATTCTTCTCAGAAAAGGGTTACTCAACCAACGAAGATGGTTTCGAGATCGGCGTTGCAAGCATTCTGATGTACAGCATTTTGTTATTTCAAAAGGCGACGGTCACCAGTTATCAAGGATATTTTTTGTAAGTTATTGCGTTCATACAAAGAGCAGTTACAATTTTTTTCAAATCAAAGCGACAGAGCTTTCGGATCAACCCGATAGATGTTTTCGAGTTTGCTTCTAATATAGAACAATTAAATGGGTGTCAATAAGGCAAGAAAAAGTGGGATCGTAGGCGGGAGAAAATAAAAAATTGGAGGTTTTATCTTTCCCATCGTGTAACGGAACAGAGCGGAGCTTGGAACGATTTGAGTACTTTTTGTTTAGAACTTAATCCAAGGAATCTATTTGAAAAAGCAGCAACAGCTCACTTTTCTCACTTGATTTAAGAAAATCAAGAGGTGAGCTGTTGGACTCTGTCATCTCTATGCTATTACAGCTAGAACGGCAATCGAGAATAGTAAGTAGCTCTTATTACTCTGATTCTTTAAACACTGTTGTTATTTACCTTTCCTACCTTTATGTCACCAAATCGGCGACATTATTGTCAGTTCATGTAATTGGGCGTTTGCGGGATCGTGATGAATAGCTTTGAAGATAGGTAAAGCAATGTGGTCGTGCACTTTGTAGCAGTTTTGATTGCACTCCTACTGAGATATCCTTTCTGGTGAATAACCTTGAAGCAAAAAATTGTGGCAGAATTGTCTACCAGGCTTTTCGTTTTCGTTCAAGCTTCGATGTAGGTTGTCTCACAATTTTTTTCCTGTCCAATTTTCCTCGACATAACTCAGTTCTTCGTATAATCCAATATGAACGATGACGTACCATTCGACACATCAAAGCAAGCTTTATAAGACTACAGTCTGAGGGTTCGCACCAAGCGTGATCCTCATAGGCTTAGTGTCAAAATGAAAAATTTCAATACTCCAAAAGAAAAAAAACAATCGTATCCCACACTTGCTCACACGTAAGCTTTCTCAATCAGATACATGCACTTGCTGCATTTTTTGTGTAAATTAGAAATCAAAAAAAAATAATGCGCTGAATTTTCGAACTCGCGCGGCTCTGCCTTCCTCGCAAATATGTGATTATATAGCTTATCAACTCAGAACTATTGCAGCAAGTTTGCACTTTTGTAAGTGATAGTTATTAAAGAATATCAATTTGAATGTTTGGATATGAGAAAGACTTATTTAATAGTCTAACATAGAGTGTTAGAAAAGTGTTTGATTGTGAATAACTCTTTTGTACTCAAGTCTTTGGAGAAGCCTAGGTGCCATTATGTAGGGGGTGGCTTCATCTTAGGTTTGCAGTTTAGAGCGAATTACAAGTCGCTCTTCGTTAGTGTAAAATTACAGGAAGTTCGAAGAATATTCAGCCAACAATATTTCGCAGACCGCCATTACTAGTAACGCTTGCAGAACCACATCATTCGAAAGATTTGAAGAGCTTGTTTGAGTACATACGTAATCCAGGACATAGGTGCGATAGTGTGACAATTTGCTCATCCCCTCTTCAACCCTGAACCGGGACCAAGGTGACCCCTTCACCAAAAGTCGAGGAAAAAATGTATGGGAATTCTTTGTGTTTCGTAAAGGAGAAAAAAGATTTATAGGCATTCATGAA